GTTGGTTGCCACGACCGGACACATGTACGAAGAGAACAAACTCCAGCTTGGTTCTCTTCGTACAAGTGTCCGGTCGTGTCAACCAACTTCTGCTTGTGAGTATCGGATTCTCGATTCCAGCAATCGAATTTAGCCTACCGAACAGAACTGATCCCCACAACCAAGTCTTTTTTTTCCGTGCAGCAAACGTCACGAACAGAAGGGTCCCAAAAACAAATTATTTCGGGTATGGTCGTACATGTTTAGCTACTCTTCAGAAAGGCCAGGTCGCACAAAAGCGGGTCGTACAAACGACGTGCTCTGCTCACCTCCTGTTACAGTTCCGCTCAGAGCTCGGCGCAGTGTTGCGGGTGCGGGTTTGCCTATGGTTGGTTCACGAAATTCTGACACACTGGCACGCAAAGGACTTGGAGACAATCACACTCTCCTTTTTTGTTGACATCATAAGCCATACGGTTAGACTCATTATAAGGGCCGTATTCCTTGGCTAGAGCTGCCAAGCCGTACTTCGCACTCCCCGACCCGCAGGTAGTGGGCTCCTATATGGCAGCCGTGCCACTGGGCCCGGGCGAGGGCCGGGGACCCTCCGAGCAGGCCTTCACGCATCGTAATGACGCTTACAATGTGACCTAGGGATAAAGGCCAGCCGGAGTGTCAGAATTTCGTGAACCAACTATACCCCATCAGGCGCCATTGCCGTGGCAGTCCAAGAGTATTGCGTTATTCAATTTATGTGGCGTTAAAATCGTTTACCTACACTGTTAAAAAAATTGCTGTAAATTTACAGCGAAAATGTGATTAATTTTGTTAGCAGCATTACTGTATTTTTACAGGCCTTACTGTAAAAAAGCAGCGTTAATGAAAATGTCGGAAACAAAGTTTCCGACCAAAAGCAGTTACTTTGTTTTGATCCTGTAATAAAAAAAATTGTAATAATACGAGTGTCCTGTTTTGGAACGAAATGTGCTGCTAACAAAATTAACTTCTCTTTTCTTGTAAATGTACAGCAAAGTAATACGTAGTAGTTTGTGTTGTGGGCCACTATGGGCCGAATATCACAAGTTTCGAGAGTGTTCAAATGAAAACAACATTTCTGTTACATTACAGGAGTGTCAATCAGGCAGTAAGTCATTAGGTGACGGTTATTTTTAACAGTGTATAAAAGCAGTCACATTATGGTCAATGCAAGTCACATTCATTTCAACCTTCAGAGCACTACTGCTCTGAAGTTTCAACAATAAAGTAAGTTGGCTAGGCTCGGCTTGGTGAAATATACGGCACATTTTAACTAGTGTAACCAATGGGAATCAATGGGAATGAGCGGAAATGAATAGCGAATCAATGAGGGGTCAAGAGTGGTGACTCAGAAACAATTTCAGAATGAGATAGTTTACTGTTGTAGAGGAGATCAGGGAGAACATGCCGTAGCATAAGCCACAAGCCCTGTTTTCCGGAAATTGACTGCCTTACTTGAATTGTTTTTTGCAGATGATTTCCGAATAACAGTTGACGGTTAGAGATGATCTGGCATGCGCTTCTCCCGACTTTCTTTTAACTGATAAAATACCTCACTGCCACTCATTGATGGGTTTTCTTTTTTGTTGCAATCACAAGTGTTGCCAGGTGCCGTGTGGGTGTCGTTTCCGGTGAGTCACTAATGTGCTACCTAGCTCGTGGGATTCACTCCCCGCTCTAAGCTCTGGGAGCAACAAAGCCCTTTGCGACAGCAGGAAATGATCGTGCGTGCGTTTACAGCGACGCCGGGGTATCAGCACTCTGGAAACTCAAGTGTCGTACAGTATCACACTTATAAGTGCAGTACCTTGGTGTCCTACAGTTATAAGTGTAGGACCAGGGTGTACTGCAGTTAAAAGTGTAGGACACCATGTGCTCTACAGTTTTAAGTGTAGGACACATGGTGTCCGACACCTCAAGGTGCCATCTAACTCAAATGTCGGACACCCCTTGTCCTACATTTAGAACTAGAGATCTAAAGGGATAGTAAAAAACTGTTTTTTTGAGTTTTAAACTCAGTAAAAAACAGTATTTTACTCGGACAGTTTTCGGTTTTTTACTCAATAATAGCTGTCAACCGATTATTTCTGCAAGGAGCACCCTCATCCCCCCAAAATGAGTTCTTAGACCAAGTAAATTGTACTTCATCCTTGATTTTTCAAGCTTGTCTGTCTTCATGTCAGTGATATGTACTTGAGAAAATCAATGATCAATTACAAGAAGTCACGCTGATTCCCACCACCCAACTATAGAGTCTCTCTATACCCAACCCATCGCATTTGTTATGGGACAATCAGTCGTGCTCCGAAAACTCAAGTGTCATATAATATCACACTTAAGTGTAGTGCCATGGTGTCCTCGTACTGGTGTAAGTGTAGGACCAAGGTGTACTGCAGTTTAAAGTGTAGGCGAGGAGGCAATAACTCTGGGAATCATGTGTACACACACACACTCCGGCCCGGGAATCAGCGGGAATCAATGAGAATCACGACGGGAATCATGGAATTAATGTGCACACTTAAATTTAGAGTTATTGCCCCCACGAGTGTAGGACTGGACGTGTCCTGCAGTTGAAAGTGTAGGACACCTCTTGTACTACACTTATAGCTGAGGTACAATGGTGCCCTACACTTTTAACTTGGAACAACGTCTGTCCTACACTTTAAACTGCAGTACACATTGTGGTCCTACACTTATAAGTGCAGTTAAATCAAAAGAGTTTAAAAAAAACATCGTTCTGGGAACTATTTTGCTAACAAGACGAAAATTCAAAAAAACAGTTTTTTACTGTTTTTTACTCGGTTTTTTACTGGTTTTTTACTTTCACTTCAAAAATACGGTTTTTTTGGATCTCTATTTAGAACTGTAGTGCACATTGTGTACTACACTTTTAACTGTAGGACACATGGTGTCCTACACTTTTAACTGCAGTACACCTTGGTCCTAAACTTTTAACTGAGGGACACCATGGTACTGCACTTATAAGTGTCATACTGTACGACACTTGGACACTTTGCAGTGACGATTCAACAACCAAATCGAGAACAATCAAGGCAAACAGAATGAGTCCGGCAGAGTTAAACAGAGCCGCAGCAGCACCCTCATCAAATTGTCTATAGAGTGGCTGCATGTGTTGGGCATAATCGAGTATGTGAACGGGGTAATGTGCTCGGTTATGGGGCACAACGCGGGGAACATAGGACAAACTATTGAAGAACGCGGCTAACCATCCAGGGGTCGAAAAAATCTAAATGTGATGACATACCCACACCCATGAACCCCAAGAACATCCACTGAAATAAGTACTTCTCCCGTTTGGTAACTTTTAACGTTGAAATCCCGCGAAAAAGACTCGGAAAGATTACCCCATACCGAGCGACGACTCACACCCAGAGGGAAGCCCCACCACTCGCTGCTCTGTGTATCGCGCCGTGGCCGCGAACGCCGTGAGGCTGCACGATATAGTTCTTGTCGAGCCCGGTCCCGCGACCCAGGGCAGTCCGTCGCCCGACGACTTACGCTTGAGCAGCGGCGAGAGCGAAGCCTGTAGCGGGACGCAAAACGCACCGCACCGCCGAGCGTTCGCACTGAACTGCTCTGCTCGCTAACAGAACAGACGGCGCTCGGCTCGCCTCTAGGCCCGCCTCTAGGCTCGCCGGCACACGCCAGCAGAGGAGCCTCCCCCCTCCCCTCCTCCCTCACTCGCGCGGCTCGAGCGGCACGTGGCCACACGTGGGGCCGATGAGGTAGCCACCGGCCGTAGAGTCCGGCTGCTTCACGCCGGCGGCAGGAAAAAGATGGAGGAAATCGGGTTAAAAGGAAATCCCTGCCACGGATATATCGTGGTCAGGTACGTCATGTCTGGATTGTCCGAACAGAGGAAGCAAGACGATACAGTCCTAGCCCGTGACAAATCTAGGGGGAAAAAAAACACGCCCCGTGTCAAACCCGTACCCCGGATACGTGGGAGAGAGGGGGAGGGGGGGAGCACCAGGCACACATTTTGCACGTCTCCGTCAATGTGGATCCTACGAGAGATTTTGAAGGGGGAAAAAATACATGCGTCTTGTCTCGATTTTTCACACTCGAAGTTCTACTGCTCCTGATTGTAAGGCGTCACTCTGAACATGCATACTGACATGTGAAAGGATAAGGTGGAGAGAGAAGGGGAAGTGTACATAGCAGAGACAGAAGCTTTTGAGCTTTAAAAACAGTAAAAGAAACGATAAAAATATCACTTTCTTTTATTTTCATAGGGATGATAGTAGTTTTCTGGAAAACCAAACAGTTGTGTCTCTGGATTTTACAAATTAAAAGTTATTGTTACATTTTAGTATGGTTTAAGAGCCTGTGTTCATGGTAAAAATTTAAGAGTTACAGCAGTCAATTGAGTTCAAGAAATCAAAGATTCCACATGAACACGATGACAAATGGATTGGAGGCAACTGAATAATTCTAACGCTAAGCAGTCATGATTATGTGCAAAACATTACTTCAGCTAAAATGTTCAGACTTTGTATTTTTTGAAGTTAAAGATAGGAGGTTTACATATGACAGATATAAATACACTTTGGGGGAAAACAACCTTCCATAGGCGGAGGAGAATAATAAGACCACACCCACTTCTCCTTGTGATAGCCCTTTGACTGTCAGTAAGATATTAAAAGATCTACATATAAGATAGGCTATTTTCAGTACTAGCAGAGCTTAAAGCACCAAGTCGAGTATAGAATAAGAATAGTAAAAGTAGGTATCTTAAGCTAGAACAGCCACACCCTTGGAGTCCCTTTTAGGCTATGGCCGCCTAGGACCCTGCCCTACACCAAGTGTCAGACATAACCAGTGTTGCGCCCGGCGAAAGTTGGAACTGTCTTCAAAAGACAGTCTCGGTTGAAAAATTCCCTCTAAAAGCTATCAATTTTGAGCGGAAATGTCCACATTAAATAGCAGAAAAAAAGTACGAAAACCCAGCCAAATTCACGTACCTTGGTTACAAGTTCCTCTTCCAGCAAAGTTGATTACAGTTCTCGATGAACAAGTAAAGAAAACGATCAACAACAACACTGTTGACTTTTACATCAGACCTGTTCGTAGAAACTTTCTGTAAACTTTCGCGTTTGAAGTTTGGCGTTAATTTCAAACTTTAAAGTTGACCTAGGACCCCAGTTGCCGAGCAACGCCGGCAAAGTTTAGGGTGTTCTGCTGCACATGCAAGCACTAAATTTCTCTAGAACACGCAAAAAGTAATGACGATGCGTTTAGGTCGGGAAATTCATTTTTCCGGTGCGTCGCGGGTCTAGAAAGCTTTGAAAACTAAAATTTCCAGCTTTACTCGTAAGTACTCAACTAAATTCTATTTTTTCTGTACATCTTTTTTTTAATGGTGGTTGGTGGCAAGTGAACATGAATCGACTCGCCTAGCTTTCCACATTGCCAACATACATTTCCATCGTAATTTTTTATGGAGTAATAACACACCCCACATTATCAACGCTTGGCCCAAAAATCGATTCATGGTACCCATTTCTGTTTTCTTTGTTGCACAATGCCGTAAGCGTACTTCTACACTCTAGAATGTATCGCTTTGACAATGTTTGTTGGTACAAATGTTGGACTAGACAAGAAGACAGACCGACAGGGACAGATAGACAGACGGACACTCAACAAAAATAAACATGGATGCCTGTACCGCAGTGGAGGAAGAAGTCGACAAGATTTTACAAAAATTTACTGGTATTAAAGACCATGCTGATCGCGTTTTGAGTGACATCACCAACCATGTTCAATCCCTTAAAGAGGAGATGGATAATTGTAAGCATTTGTGTTATTTTTTTATTCGAAGGGCCAAGTTGAATATCCTACCTGTCATCTTTCGGGGAACAATTTAGCCTAAATTAATTTTGATCTCGCAGATATTATCCGTTACCTAACGTTCAAGTTCCATAGATTTATCACTTCCATCAAGATAAAACATACAGTGTAGTTTGTTAGTAATTTTAGTAGGAAAGTGGCACGTTGTGTTTGCTTGGGGTCAATGTTTTCTTTGGACTTTAACCTGTTTGTTTTGCACTTTTTAAATATGAAGCAAATTTCATTTAATCTTGCCATCTGCATTTTTAATCTACGTATTTTCTGATTCTAAAACCTTACGTTATTTAGCAACTCCTTCAAGTCTGTGCTATCATCTAACCATTCTGCTGCCTCCTTTCAGCTCCACCTGACCATGAGTTAACAGCGGCCCAGGTCCTTATAATGAAAGAGGCTTTAGGTAAAGTAAGAGAAACAGTTCAACGTCTTGCAGGTGATCACAGAGATATACACACAACAATATGCAAACTTGGAAGAGCTATAGACAGAGTAAGAATCGTACACATGGAGAAATTGTTTTTACCTAATGTTATCAGTCAATTTCAAATTTTAATCACTTTTATTTAATACCCTTCAGAATTTTGATTCGGACTTTTCATCTGTTAGTCGGGAAGATGTGTTTTCTGGACCAGAACAAGTCCAGCTCCTCAATCAAGTTGTATGCCAGCATTTCTATCGTCATGGAATGCTAGACATTGCTGATGAATTGGCAAGGGTAATTCTTGTAAATTAAACATAAAATTACTCTGTACCATTTACTTAGTTTTACCATGCATGATTCTTTTTAATTAGGAAGCTGGATTGAAATCAGAAGAAGGACACAAAGAACCATTCACTGAACTAAACAACATTCTGGACAGTCTAAAGCAAAGAGACTTAGGACCTGCCTTAGCATGGGCCTCTGCACACAGAGAAAGCTTGGAAACTCAAGTATTTACTTCATGTGTTTATATGTTTAATTGACTTAACTAATGATTGAAATCCTCGATTAAACCTTTACTTGATTTTTCAAATTTTAGAATTCTTCCCTGGAGTTTAAATTACATCGTTTACAGTTCATTGGACTGATTCAGGAAGGCGCTGCGAGACAAAATGAAGCTATTCAATATGCTCGCACGCATTTTGGCCAATTTGTTCGAAGACATGAAAAAGGTCTGAGGAGAACTCAGTATTTTAAGTTTATTATTATTCTGTTTTGTAGAATTAGAAGCAGATGTACTAATTTCATTCTTTTCTTTTTTTTTTTTTTTTTATCAGAAATTCAAAACTTAATGGGAATGTTTTTATACTTGCCCCATGGAGTGAACAAATCACCTTATAACCATTTGCTGGACCCCAACCTATGGTCTGAGATTTATGACGTATTTACTCGAGATGCTTGTTCTTTACTTGGTCTTAGTGTTGATAGTCCATTATCTGTGTGGTAGGTATAAAACAGTAGTGGATATAATTATAAAGCCATTGAGTCCTTGTATTAATCTTGCATCATTCTTGCTTCAATTTCTAAGCATTAATGCTGGTTGCACTGCCTTGCCTGCATTGCTCAAGATTAAGCATCTAATGCAGCAGCGCCAGGTAGCAGGAATTTGGAATGGAAAGGATGAACTTCCGGTATGTCTGGAAAATCATAGTATATTATTAAAAGTTACGGCTGTACAAATCATATTAATGTCTCCTGTTTATTATTTTAGATTGAAATTGACTTGGGTCAGGAAAATAGATACCATTCAGTGTTTGCATGTCCTATTTTGCGACACCCAAGTTCAGACTCTAATCCTCCCATGAGATTGGTCTGTGGTCATGTAATTTCTCGTGATGCCCTGAATAAGCTTGTCAGCAGCAATAAGTAAGTACTTAATTAATCAATCTTTATTCAAAATCCTGAAACCTACCTTAATGTGCTGAAAATATTGTTTGCTATTCAGCGCGTTTGTGCAACAATATCCTATCTGTTTTGCTGCCCGGAAAGACTAGCCTACTTGTTTTGCGGCGCTCACTGCAGGGCTGTCTTACTTTCATTGTTGGTTTGATATCATTAACAGTAAAAAAAAAAAGTCAAAATTGCCCTTTGTTCCTTGATCTTTAAGGAACATGCAGCAGTGTTCTCTTTTATTTTACTGTTAATACCGGCAAACTCACAATAAAAAGAGGACAGCGCTGCAGAGAGCCCCGAAAAACAGATACGCTAGTCTTCCGAGGTAGTGAAACAGATAGAATATTGTTGCACGGACGCGTCATATAATACCAAAGAGTAATATGGATATTTTCTCTTCTAGGCTGAAATGTCCTTATTGTCCTGTAGAGCAGAATCCCGCTGAGGCAAGACTTATTTTCTTTTAAAGGAATATAAATAATGGTTATGGTTTTCAATTTTGTTATGGAATTGTTTATAGTGACTGCTGACAGATTGCACCTCACCATGACGTTTACAGCTACCATTTTTTCCCTTCTGTTTTTTTACCCACAACAGCCTACAGTGTTGTTTTCTTCTAATTATTCCATCATCCATCACCTATATTTATGAACGAGAGATCAAACGAAAACTTTTAGAAGTAGACTTTTAGTCAGTCTCTGAATCTTGACTTTTTCTACCATTATGTGTAACACTCTTTGCTTCATATACCTGTCCTAATTAAAGGCAGATATTCTTTGGAGCTGATACTCAAGTATCTAACAAAGGATTCTTTTAAAATGAGTGACTGTCCTCTAATATGTGTAGTGTAACTAATCTGTACCATGTTTGTTACTCCTGTTCTGTTGCACAAGATTGTATATCTCTATACTTATGATCATTTTATTTCTAATTTCTATTTAAGCTCATAGTTTGGTTTAGTAACTGTTTTGGTATGTAGCTTTGCCATTGTTTCATTCTAATAGGTGTACAGTTTTGTGTCTGAACTTCAAATATTGTCATTTTGGTCAGTTGTGGCAGCTTGTTTTTTGTGGAAAAAATGACGAAAAGTTTTATTTCCTTGTTGTTAAAAGTGCTTCTCAGTCAAAAGTTAAGGCATTTGTACCACTTCCTCCAAAAACTTTGAGATTTATCAGAAAGACTGATATCACACTACTGGACAAGCAGCTACTGTGCGCTTTTTCTGTTGAGTTAATTTCACCTCAACCTCACCTTGATATCTAGCTATTAAGTGCACCAGTAGGTTTTCTTTACCATATGTACTATACTTTTATAGGGGTCTCATAAATATTTGTGTGCACTGCAGATAAATATTGGACATTACATCATTGACTCACATTAAAAATATTTAGTACAGGAAAAACTGAACCCTGAACTATCCAGAAAACATTGAGTACTGGTATGTCAAAAATATTTCCTAAACAAATTGGGAAATGATTGTACATGAAAACAAACAGATATTGTGGGTAGGAACAACGTGTTTTCCCAAAGTCGGGAGAGTTTTAAAAATGAACTTGTGAAGTATATGTATGTGATAAAGTGGTGGTATTGTCAATGTTTGCTACAAAATAAAAAAAATTAACTTTAGTTTACATGATTGTTTCTGTGTGGAAATGTCTTATTGTCTCAAGTCAAGTCTCGGTTCAGTACTTCTTTAATCTTAAATCATCTGAGCAACACAATTTTATTTAATATGAACAGACCTTTGAAAGAATAAATATTATGTAAAATATTTAGTACCTCTAACTTGAAAGGATGTTAAGATTTCTTACATATAAGATGTTTATTTACAAATATATTGAAAAGTCCTATTGATTACACCATCAACTGGTTCTATTGTGATTGTTTTGTTTCAATAAATTGTTTTAAAGAAAAATTAACATTTCTCTGAACTTACTGTCTACAATATCAACAGAAGTTCTGAGAACAGATAAATTCAACTTCATTCCTTATTCACTATTTAACAATAGCACAAACCTGCAAACTTAAGCAAACCCCTATCAAGCGGCAGTCGTCCTATGAAGTAATGCTTGGTTGATCCGCCTTGAAATAAATTTCCAGTACTCTTTTCGAATCTTATCATGTTCTAAAGCAAGATCATCACAAACCTGTGATTGAATTGAAAAACTTGAAGATAAGTTTGTGAGCAAAGGTAGAATTTAAAAGAAAATAGGTTAGTTTCACAACCTTACCTGCAGTGCTCTTTGCATAGAAAATATCTCATCACTAGCTCCCAGTTCAAACAACTCTTCGCAAATATCGACAATGAGCGCTAGAAGATACGGACATCTGCATCCAGTGCCATAGAGATCTTCACAAAACTTCATTATAAACTCTTCTGAAGTGATATTGCCTGATTCTGTGTGGCATATTATACTAGAACAGATATGCACAAAAATGCTAAAATTTGACAAACACACACACAAATACACTTCAGTTCTTATCTTATCTTAAGAAATCACCTACCCTCTCAAATAATTCCATGCACTCTCATTATTTACCACTTCTCTGATTTTACCAGCAGTATATTCTAACTCATTTTTGATCACGTTAGGAGTAAATCCACTTGTGTGAATTATGACAAAATAACGCTGGTTCCAAGCTGAATTGTTCCGAACATCTTTCAAAAGAAGATCATTTACAAATTCAAGCTCTAAATCATACAATCTGAAATTAAAGTGTGTTAAACAGGTAATTGGACACAAAATAATTATATCATTTGAGCGCAGTTAAGTAACTAACTTGAAAGTTGCAACAACCCACTGCCTGTGTTGCCAAGCATGATAATTTTTTGAATCTTGGGCAAGTATAACATTTGTAAATTCCATCTCCTTTGAGGGATCTTTCAACCACTCCACTATAACTCTTCTGTGATGCCTAAAAGTAATATTTCCAAGCATATTACAACAAGTAAAAGAAGATAAACTAAGTAACTGTGATAAAAGGCGTAAATTGTCTCACCAAACTTGATAATTCTTTGGATGTTCAGATATAGTTTCACCAATGTAGTTTAGTTCATCACTCAAATTACTTTTTAAATGAGATAAAACCTCTCTTCTGCAAAAATAGAAGCAATTGTAGGAGACAACTAAAAACAGCATGGAAATAGAGGCTGAAAATGTAATTGTTTTTCTCCACAGACCTGTACTGCCACACAGTGTAATTGGCTGGGTTGAGCTGTGCTGCATCATTTGTCAGTTCTAGCACCCTTTCGCTTTTTTCTCCAGACCTTAAAATTGCTCTAAAATAATCGTAGATCTCACGAACTGTTAATCAAAATACAAAACATGTTGTTTTAGCTAGAACACTCCTGAAAAGGCGCCGTGAAAGTATTAAGACTACAGAGGTGTGAGTAAATAAGATTGGCCCAGAAAACTACAGAAACACAAGCAAAGAAAAAGGGCCCAATAACAGTGTTAGCATAATTAATACAGGTTAGTTGGCACAGGTTAGAATTACATTGCTCTGTGTAAGCGATGGCAACTACAGGATTTGGCCCGTCGTCCTGAGGTACAGGAGTAACATCCTTCCAGTGCGGTCTATTTTTATAAAACACGTATTCTTCTTCATAAGTACAATCAGAGCTACTGTCAGTCATTGTGACCGTTCAAATTGTGTAAATTGTTGTTTGGATTGATTCGGCTCGGCTCTCGGCTGACTAATTCATTCGCCTACCCCTTCCCCCACCCCCATCTCCATCCCCCCCTCCTATCACCCCCTATGTCCGGCCGGCACTTATGACAGTAATCAGACTTAGACAAGGCTGTGGTATGGCAATGTCAGAAAGTTAGGTTAGGAATTACATTGACCATCATAATGTAGTGTTTTTTTTCTGATAACAATAAAAACAAAACCATGACTGAAATGTCGTGCCACATTTGATGAAATCGTGTTGAAAGAAAAACATTATGATTCATCACTCAAGGAATAGCAGTTAGACTGTATATGTGAATGTGCGTATTTAAATTTGTATACTCAAATGTTTTATCAGCTGATCGAACAATATGTGTGACAGTTTTAAATGGACTTTTTGTATGATCTAACAGGATGCCTAGCTCTTTGCTTTTCGGTATTAGTCATGAGGGTAGGGTGTACGCTCTATCAACCAGAGGCTCCAAGTGGAGAGAGCTTGTATACCTGGGCTTGGAGTTTAAAACTCTGTCAGCACTACCTCACATGCTATGGGCAGTTGGTGGTGATAGACAAGTGTATGTATATGTCCATGGAATAGATGTCCCTATAAGGATTAAAGAAGAGGCATTTGAAAATGAGGTCTGTTTCAAAAACTTTGTGTTTTCAAAAGAATATATACAAATACAAATGGTCGACATGGTGTATCTTGTCTTTTAAATTGTCTGCAGAGATGGCTCCCAGTTGAAGGATTCAGCAATCGTTTATTTCCCATGGATAGACATCAATTTTCCTCTGCCGATGGTTTGACAGAGAGAAGTTTAAAAACTGTTCGTTTGCCGTCTATGGCCTGGCAGTGGGAATCTGATTGGCATTTGGAGCTTTCATTGGATGGACAGCCTTTGGATAATGATGTGAGCCAAACTGTAGTCACAACTTCATTTTTTTTATTTCAATATTTAAATTATGTTCATCCAAATGTTTCTTTCTGTAGGGTTGGACCTATGCTGTTGATTTCCCAGCAAAATATTACCCTCAAAAGCAATGGAAATCTTGTGTTCGGAGGAGAAAATGGGTTAGATATCGAAGATATTCTGCCCTGAACTCATGGTGTGCCATAGCACCCCTGCATAAAGATGCAACACAGGTAGAATCTTTATTGCACAATGGCGGGGCTTACAAGTTATTATCATACCATCTTAAAACTTTTTAAAAATTTACAGGAGCCTTTTATTGATGTTGCTGTTGGTGGACAGGGCCTTACCAGCATTGATGAAGGATCAGTACTTGTTTGGGCGGTGACAGCTCATGGACGGGTACTTACCGGAATTTTAAAAATAATTTTCTGATTTTAAATTATTTTATTTTAACAAGCCTCTAATTGTTCTAGGTCATGTTCCGCACTGGTGTTAGTTTGACTTCTCCAGAAGGTCAGAAGTGGGTTGCAGTATCTGTTCCTCAAGGTTCTGAAGTTAAGCAAATTTGTGTTGGAGCTACTGGATTGGTTTGGGCCATCTTATGGAATGGCAGGGCTTTGGTAAGGCTTGGTGTGAGCCGACACAATCCCATGGGTGAATACTGGTCTGAAGTGGCTGCACCCAATGAAACAGAAAGATTGAGTCAAGTATCAGTGGGAACTAATGCAGTGTGGGCTGTCACTACCAGTAATCATTTGTGGTTTAGACGAGGGGTAAGAGGAAATAGTGCCAGTGAAAGTGAAGAATGTGCCAGAGGTTGTGGCTGGGTTGAAATGGTTGGCAGGATGACACTTATCTCAGTTGCAGCTAATGATCAAGTGAGTGTTGTGTAATTTCAATTTTAAATATTACCGTGTTCATAAAACAGATAGTCATTTAACTTTTTCTTAGGTATGGGCCATTGGAGCAGAAGATCGACTGCTGTATTTCCGCACTGGTGTCACACACTCAGACTTGACTGGGAAGACATGGCGGCTGATGGCTGCACCTACACAACTTAGTAGAGCCAGTAGTGATGTAAGCCTGTGGTCAAGTCTTGGAGGGTCCAAAGCTCGAAAAATCTCAGTTAGTATCAGTGTTTACTCCTCTATCATTATGGTCCATATTTTAATAATATTTTCAGAAATACAAAAAACAAAGAAATCTAATTTGAGAAAATTTTTAATTTTTAGAGTTTGGCAAACCCCTCAGCCAGTCAATTATCTCTGACAGATGGCTCTCTATCTACCTCTGTCCCAACTACATCAGTCAATGTCAGTAATTCTATCATTGCCTGTTCGGCACCTACTCAGTCATTGGCCAGACTCAACTTGAAATCTGATTCCTCTGAAGAAATAATGGGTGAAACTTCTTATCAAAGGAATTTTGAGAAAGGTCAAAAGTTTGTTTCATCTTTGTCTAAAAAATCTGAAGAAAGGTTGTCAGATACAGGATCTCAGTTTGATGCAGATGAACCTGATGGTAATACTGTTTTTGTTTTGTTCTGTTTTTATTTTTCAACTACTTATTTAATTAAGTACAAGCTTGTAATTTATATTCTCATCGTTAAGAATTTTAATTTTCTAACAATCTTTCAATATGTTTCTTCTTTTTCCTCAGTTAAAACTAATCCAACAGTTTGGAGTCCCATTCAAAGTGTTGGTGGTGTGTTAGGCACTGAGGCGATGGCAGGTGATGATTTAAACGTGTATTCTGGTGAAGACACATTATGTGGTTTTTACAACTCTGATGCCGATGGTGTGTGGGGTACCAATGACTCCAACATGCTCTGGACGTGTGTGGCTGCAGGGGCAGTTTTTATTGAGCCGTTATCCCTCCCAAATTGGTATGATCTTCATTTTAATTTTTTAAACCAATTCCATTTTGTTTAGTAATTAAAATACGGTGCATACCTTTCTTTTTACTTTTTCATCCTTTTTGTATGTGGTCAATTCTGTAAACTGCATTTCAAACTGCAACTAACTATCCCTTTTTTTTTCTATTAAGGTTTGTGGAAAATTCTCAGGCATTACTGCAACCAGAGCTTTCTAAACCATGGAGAGTCAAAATTTTGCAAGAACTAAAGCAAAGGACAGAAAAAACTTCTGTTGGTTTTGAGAACTATGAAAAAGCAGTTGAGAAAACCAGTTGGGTTAAATGTGGAACAGCTAAAGCTGTTCTGAAAGACTCTTTGCCTGAGCTTTGTTCACTTGAGCTTGAGTGGATTGGAAGTGAATCTGGATCTCTTTCCATTCTAAGTTTGGACCAAACCCAAACCAAACTCCAATTAAGTGTCTCAGAAATAACATGTGTAGCAAGTTGCAGTGAACCTGGCACACCATGCATAGCAATTCATACATCACGTTTGCGACCAAGCAAGGGACCTCTGAAGCTACAGTTTAATGCTGAAACTGATATGGAGGATTGGATGGCTCATTTAACTCTCGTCACATGCCAAGTAAACGGTACCAGAGGAAAGCCAAGTGCGAGCTCCTTTTGGGCCACTACTACTCGAGGAGATGTCTTTGCTTTTGACCCAGCTACACTTGAGGTACAGTAGTGCCTAGTCATAAAATGGAGGGTAATTTTGTACTTACAATCAGTTTTAATATATTTTGATGTGGTTATATTTCGTGATTGTAGGCACATCAGCTGCGTGGAGAAACGTATGTGCAAGAAATGCTAGTAGCTGGAAAGTCAACCCCATATGATGCGCATTTGCATAACAGTTTCCCAGCTGGCAGTAAAATAACCTTGCTTGCTAGTGCTCATCATAACACTGAAAGATTTGCAGTCAATCTTGTGTGTCGGTCACACCAACTCTCATCTAAGCAGTCTTCTTATCCCAACGTAGCCCTTCATTTCAATCCAAGATTTTCGGATGGTATTGTTGTTCGAAATTCTAAACAAAATGGCTCATGGCTGAAAGAGGAAAGAGAAGGTGGTCTCCCAATCAGTCGAGGAGAAGCATTCTCTATATCTGTATTGTGCCAAGAAGATGCTTTCAAGGTACCATAATGTAGTTTTCTAATGGCTAATGCCAAAATTAAGAAACTAGTCAAGATTAACATATTCTATGAACCTTTGATGTTACCTTTAAGTGCAGTTATGTTATTTCTTATTTCCATTGAAAATTATTACAAGTTTATCTCTTTTTCTGTAGATATTAGTGAATGATACTCAGTTCACATATTTTGAACATAGGATGAATCCTCAGAACATAACTCATATTGAGATTGAAGGGACTATTCTTCTTCATAAATTAATCTATGAATCCAAAATGGTAAGCTAAGCTCTGCATGATTATTAACCTATTTGAGATGGGCAAATTAATCAGAGCATTATGCTTTCTTTGATAGATAATAGTGTCTCCATCTGATATGTTTTGGCGCCAAATGGGTGGTCATCTTCGTCGAGTTGAAACCTGTGCTTCAGGTGTTACCTGGGGTATTGGCTACGACTGTACTCCATGGTTTTACACTGGAGGATGGGGTGGTTCTTTTCTCAGAGGTGACACACTCCCCACCAAGCTTCACACTGCAGTGATTCATTTCAGCTATCTCACAGCATTTTAATGTTTTCTCTATTTTTAAGGCCTTGAAACCAGTAACTCGGGAATCAATCCTATGGCTGACACACATGCTTATTATCTTTATGAAAATCAACGGTGGAATCCTCTTACTGGTTACACAACTCATATGCTGCCTACTGACAGGCATATGTGGAGCGATGCAACTGGAAGACACAAGCGTTCTAAAGATGGAACCAAACTTCCATCGATGCATTGGCAATGGGTACAGTGCAGTGCTTTCATGTAGAAAAAACTGTTGATAATTCTTGTAGAGACTGTAATTCTGTTAATCATTCTCAGGTCTCTGAATGGGCAGTAGATTATCAAACGCCTGGTGGTGTGGATCAAGATGGTTGGCAGTATGCCATTGATTTTCCTGCCTCATATCATGGTCGAAAAGGATTCACTGATTATGTGCGTCGTAGACGCTGGGTGCGAAAAGCCCACCTTTCGACTAGTGGACCGTGGGAAGAGTTGGAAAGCATAAAGCTTTTGCATGTTTCATTACAGGTGAGAACTGAAAATGCCTTTTTGAGTCAAGCTCATCGTCCTTTGCCCCATGATAATCAGAATCATGTATCGGCCGATCTGCAGTCTTACCTTGCAAGGCTCCAGCTCTGCCTTTAGTGGATTTATTATTCTATTTCCTTGTCCTTACAGGATGATGAAGGAGCTGGGTCAGATGAATATGTACATGCATGGGCAGTTACGGTAGAGGGCGAAGCGGTCTATAGAAAAGGAGTCAGCAAAATATGCCCCGCAGTAAGACACATTGAGATTTGTTGTAACATGTTTTTTTTGTATTTTTTTGAAGTAGAAAGATCTTATTAGATATTATCCGTCAGGGAACACATTGGGAACATGTACCAAGTGATCAGCCACTAATATGCATCAGTTGCGGCTCAGGGCGGAAGGTTTGGGCTGTTGGTCGTAATGGCTCAGCATGTTGGAGGTTTGGGATATCTTCTGCAAACCCTTTAGGTAAAATGTTGTTTTGCGCTGATTAGAGGTGGTTCTACCTACAACTATCTTTCTGCAATTCTTTTAATTCTAATTTTGTAAATTAGTGCAGTAGTTTAATGGATAATGTAGTGTATTAATCTTGGGTGCTGTTGTCTAGGAGAAGTTTGGGAGACTGTTGAACCGCCTGCTGGCTGTTCCTTGAAACTAGTTTCAGTAGGACGTTATGGAATCTGGGTCCTGGACAACTGTGGGCAACTATCTGTTCGCCGTGAAGTCACTGCAGTTTTTCCAGAGGGAACCCATTGGCAGACAATACAACCTTTGGATCTGGATCATAGTGGTAAAGTGGAGCATTCATCGCAGTGTATTTTTAAAACCATGTATGTTTGTAATCATGCTAAGATGTATTTGATAAATTTACAGGAGTCGTAACAGTACCAGAGGTGGAAGGGTCAGCTGTACTGAGCCCCACAAACGTACCTCCACCCCTTACTGGGTGGCGACATGTGTCTGCTGGTCCTGGTGAAGAGGTTTGGGCAATTAGCAGTTCTGGGGTGGTTTGTCGTAGACATGGTGTTACCAAAGAGAATCCAGCAGGGACAACATGGTCTCATGGTGTTGTTGTAAGTCAATTTGTTTGGTACATTTATTTTATTTCTCAATGGTTTCACTACAAAGAAACTGTTAATTTTTTTTGCAGGGTGGTTGGCAGTGCATTACTGCCCGTGGCTGGACCATGGGAAGTAACAGCTGTTGATATGTCATGGACCAGTGATGAATGCGAACTAAGTTCATGCATTGTGTTGTGAACACCAGAAAAGTCAGTGAAATAATTGTGAAATCTGTGTAGATAGAAAATCGATCTAAGTCTGAAGTTACACAATTGTGACTTATTGATAAATGTGTATTTAAATTTCTATCAGTTCAGGATTTGGTAGTTTAAAGTTTGGAGCTGGGCTTCTACCTGCAGGTTATATTTTATCCATCAACTTTTTTCTACCTTAATTTTTGTTCTTTAGTAAAACAAAAGGAGTCTAGGTAAAGTGAGCCAGAAATCTCTTTAGGAAGTGGGGGATTTCAATCTTAAGAATATTTGCCCTTAAATGACAAGCTATCTTCTGTTCTCAATGTGCCCTATTTACAGAGGAATCCAATTTTAAGCCTGTATGTTAGAGTAGGTAATTTCATTGCATCTGTAAGGTTGCAATACCTTGTCATTTTCCAGTGTCCTCTTTATGAGAATTTTTTTCATTTTGATTTTTGTTATTGTACAAACAGACTTAGCTGATCATCCAATAGAGAGAAATCTGCAGTGAGTGCACACATGTGTTTTATGTGATTCTTTTAATTTCTTTTTGACTTTGAAAACTTTTAAATTTTTAACTATCTGTTACCTTTTCTGTGATAACAATAAAGAATAAATTTAAATTAAGTTGTTTCTCTTAATTTGTAGTCAACCATTTGTCTGAAGGATTTTTGTTTCTGTGAGATTTAGAGGGAGATGAGTGCAAGAACTATATGCATGAAGAAACTGACAAATGTGGCATTGATGGGAATTTGCCAGTCTCTGCTGATGCCATTGTGACAGCTGCATCCAGGCTCCCACCAATCCCCTCACCTCTCTGTTTTAAAGGCCTCATCAGTCCAACAGACCTTTTTTCTGGATGCAGCTCATGCTGCAAAAATCAGCAAATAGACTTCTTTTCCCTTTTGGGGGGGG